TAGCCGCCACGTGTGAATAATTTAGCACTAGCCAATCACGGGGAACAAATTTGCATACCGGTGGTGGGAACTCTTTTGCACCGTGCATTCCTCTTGCAACATGAGCAATGCACTCTGCAAAAGAAGCTGCAGAAAAGGCGGGAAACTGGTCCCTGCACCGGGGTTTCCTCTGCTACAGGAAACTCTCCCGTGCAATGCTCTGCAACTTGACGGGGATAATTCTGGTGCTGAAGCGCACACACACAATCATGCCTTTTGGGTCATGACACCAGGAAGACTAACCGCACCTTGTCATGCATCCACAGATGTATTATGAGCAGGTCTAAGGAGGTGATCCTCCCCCTCTATGCAACATGGGTCAGGCCACAGTTGGAGTACTGTGTCCAGTTCTGGGCACTGCACTTCAGGAGGGATGTGGACAGCATTGGGAGGGTCCAGAGGAGGGCCACTTGCATGATCAGGGTGCAGCAGGGCAGGCCCTACAAGGAGAGGCTACGGGACCTGAACCTGTTCAGCCTCCACAAGAGAAGGCTGAGAGGGGGTCTGGTGGCTGTCTTATGAAGGGGGACCAGCAGGCAATGGGACAGTCCCTGTCCCCCTGAGCACTACCAGGAATAACTAGGAACAACGGCCATAAGTTGACTGAGAGTAGATCCAGGCTGGATATCAGGAGGCGCTACTTCACAGTCAGGATGGCTAGGATCTGGAACCAACTTCCAAGGGAAGTGGTGCTTGCTACTACCCTGCGGGTCTTCAAAAGGAGGCTAGATAATCACCTAGCCGGGGTCATTTGACCCCAGCACTCTTTCTTGCCCATGGCAGGGGGTCGGACTTGATGATCTGCTCAGGTCCCTTCCAACCCGACCAACTATGAAACTATATGCATGGGAATTTCTTTTGACTTAAAAAGTCATGGTTTTATGTGAAGTATCTACTTAATGAGGATTTTTTTTTTAATTGGAGCTTGTGTAGAGTAATACAGATCTCACAACTAGAGCAATAACACTGGGATCATACTTATTACAAATGACTGAGGCTGAAGAGAAGATTAACACGAATGGATTTAAGTTCTTGGGTAGAACAGGTACAAGGGAACTTCATGTTTGGATATCATAGGAGACTATCAAGGCCTCTCTCTTCTCCCCTTAATATATACCCCGAGCCTGCAACATTGCCAAAATGCCAGTTAGGTCTCAGCTAACTAATACCATTTCACATCCTTCTATTAAAGTTCTAAAACATCAGCTTATATCCCAAGCCTTAAGGTTTATTTAAATAGTTTTTTTATTTGATGTTTTAAAGTACAGATAAATACATCTTGAGGATTAGCATCCAGGATTAAGAGATATTATATAGATATAGGCCATTTGGATATTCATGTTTCACTAACCATTCCCAAATGCATCCTATTAAGCCATCACAGAATTGCTCTTACAATGAAAGCACTGACTGCCACAAGCACCATGTCCCTCCACTAGAGTCTGGCAAGCTATAAAAGAATACTTAGGTGTGTGTTTGTAAGATGGCATTTAATTCTCACTTTTTCATGTCCTCCACATTTCAGGTGATAGGATTCTTACTCTGTAAATAGAATATGCCAACATACATCAGCTGAGGGCCTGGCCTAAATTGCCCTACTGGTAATGGGCTTTCTTCTGTGTGCAAACCACAGCCTGGAGTCTGCACCTTGCACAGTTTAGTGGTACGAAGGAAATAAAGCCAATAGAGGAGATCATGAAGGACATGGGCTTCTGTTTTGGCACGTTTGGTCCTACTTTGATCAGGGAGTTGGACTAGGTCCCTTCCAACCCTCCTTTTCTATGGTTCTAGTTAGTCATTGCTAATGATGGGCAGGGCTGGACGCAGGCGTGGGCGAACCGGGCGGGCTGGACAAAAAGGGGGCCTGAAAATGGTCATTTATTTGATTATTATTATCATTATCTCTGGTAAAGTGGGGGCCAATATTAAAAGTTTCCCCAGGAGTCTAGGTACGATACTGGTAACGGGAGGAGTAAAATGGAGCGGGTACATTACAGATGGGTCGGGTCTGGGCAAAGGGCTTCATGTAGCTGCTAAATCCATGCAGGGATCGGGGAGGGGGCACTACATTTCATGCAAGGATCTTGGGGGCACTTCATCCATGCAGGGATCTTGAGGGGCACTACATTTCATGCAGGGATCTTGGGCGGGGTGCTAAATCCATGCAGGCATCTTGGGGGGCACTTAGTCCATGCAGGGATCTGGGGTGTGTGTGTGCTAAATCCATGCAGGGGTCTGGGGGGGAGGGGTGCTAAATCTATGCAGGCATTTTGTGGGGCATTTAATCCATGCAGGGATCTGGTGTGGGGTGTGCGCTAAATCCATGCAGGGATGGGGGG